GAATAAACGAGTTATATCATAGGATGTGTAATTACATATTTCATTTAATAGAGTACACTTCGGAAACTTAATGACGAACACATATATCATATAACTTGTAGTCCAACATGAAAGATAAACAACGGTAAATGTTTTTATTTTACCCGATAGATCTTATTCTCTAGCCATTTTTGACACAAGATAGTAGATCCACTTTAGTTATTAAAATGAATGAGTACATAAAACTCGGTCAACATCTCGAAGTACATGTAGAAGTCGTACTAGAGGCTTCTAGCTTTGTTAAATATATTCAATAGTTACCGTTACAAAGTAACTGGTAGTTACTTGTAACGACAACTGATTAGCCGTTACCGTTATCAGGAACGATAACCGATCAGCAGTTAGAGTTACTGTGACGGTAACTGGTAACTGTCACAATCCCACCGAGATCAAATTTTCTGTTAGTTCATACAATCAAATGAATTTTTTGCAAGAAAATGGCGGCATATTAATTATAAATACACTTTGTAACTGGACGATATCCATATTTCCTCATTGCGCGATACAGTTTGGACAAAATTATTAAAATTTAATTAAAGGGACTCCCCCTCAGGTTTAGATAACTGACAGTGTGGAGACATATCCCGATCGGGATATATATCCCGATTGGGATATCATTTTTTGCAGCAAAATTTTCGAGTGCTCTATTTGTTTTAAAATTTAAAAAGTTAAGGATACTTAACTCACCAGACTTACTTACTTTAGAATATTTACTTAAATTTTCAAATTTTAAAATAAATAGAACAAATTTAAAAATAATCGACGTTACCGCACTACCATGATTATTTGCTATGCATCCATATATAAACTTGAATAGTTTTCTATTATTTTATTTGTCACGAACTAGTAACCAAATAACTACGTGAAAATTTACGTATATTTGAGCATACGAGAAACAGACGGAAAATAGTACAGGACATAACATGACGTAAGAAGGATACAAAAGAACATGACGTCAGAAAGAATAAAGAATAGTTATATATGATAACATATGATGGCCTTAAGTCCTTAATGGCATAAAAACATGACCATTAGTACTGACCGAGACATGACGTCAATAGAACAGAAAGGAAAAATAGTCACATTTCCAGGCATATGATCTCTTTATGTCCTCATTAGGTATGCACTGGGTCGAGCTACCTGAGTTCTAAGCTATCCGAAGTTCGAGCTACCCGAAAATTAAGGTCTGTTTTTTTCTGATGCGTGTTATTCTCAGACCTACATTAAAGAGGATCCTACACTTTTATTCTATTTTGCATATTAACTTCATTTTACACTTTATGCAAGTAATCTGAACTCTTACGTCGCTTTAGCATTTTGCCACTGGGATCGAACATCGATTATTCGAAATCGAAAATAATCAAAAATGTCTTAGTCTAAGTGCAAAACCACATTGTTGGGTGGCCAAATACTAAAGCGAGGTAAGAGGCTTTAAGTTTTTTTGTGCCCGGAGTTAAGACAGATTCGTCTCCGTTTATGTTTTTTTGTGGCCGGTCCGGGTACAAAAAAATCTGTTTAGACTTTTGTGTCCAGAGATAGATATATGCCAGGATTTGATTGATTTGTGCCCGGTTTAATTAGATTAGGCATAATAATGAGAAATATCTCAGCTTATTATCAATATTTATTTAGTGAGGTAGTGGCAGAAGTAAAACGAACAGAGTGAATATGAGTAGAACAGCTAAACACCAGACAACGCATTTCCTACTTTTCTTGGTCGTTCGCATCGTTTCTAGGACTTTTGTAATTTTGCTGTTGCTGGTCTGTTACAATATAATAACCGAAATTAAACCGGTAGCCTGCTGACATACATATGTTACAAACATATAGACGTATGTCACAAGTGATATCTGTTAGGATAACTTATGTTCATCTGTAGTTCTACTATTAAATTTTCTCGCACACAAATCAATCAGATCCGGGCAGATATCTATCTCCGGGCACAAAAATGTAAAAGATTTTTTGTACTCGGATCGGGCACAAATCTGTCTTAATTCGGGGCACAAAAAAACCTTCGTTCGACGTAAGAGTTCAGATTACTTGCATAAAGTGTAAAATGAAGTTAACATGCAAAATAGAATAAAAGTGTGGGATCCTCTTTAATGTTGAGGTCTGACAATAACACCCATTGGAAAAAAACAGACTTTAATTTTCCGGTAACTCGAAGCTCGGTGCATACCTAGTCCTCATGATATAGCACTACTTGCAACCAATTTTGTTGCAACAAAGTTTTTCAAAAATTTAACCCAACGAGTTATTGTTGACAAGGCTTGGTCTGTTGCAGTTAAGACATCGACATTCCTGGTGTTCTTTGTTTTTGTTGGCCGAGCTTTTTCGACTAAAACCAAATATTGCCAAGAGACTCAGCGTGAGCGGTTACCAATAATCCACTAGTTTTCACGGCTACGAATAGTCATTGGGTGTCTCTCCTGAGGCTCCTAGGAAATGAGATACAGCTCCCGAACCGCGTAAACTCAAGGTCTTGTTCAATTCTTTTTTGAAGAAGAGATCCCGGGCAACCAGCCCATGAGAAGAAATCAATACAATTTCATTGGAAATTGTTTACACACGACCTGGTTTTTCAAAGATCTCCTAGAAAACAGTTCTGGAAAACAGTTTCATTGTGAATTCATGCCTTAACGTCTTGGCTATCTAAAGTTGAAAACCGCGCCTCAATATCCTTTACGAGTTATTCAAAAAGCAGTCGCGTGCCTTTTATTTCGAAAAGGATACTAATAAACTTCTTAGAAACCTGGAATGCCTTACGGACGAGTGAAAACAACGTATTAGCGGTAAACTCCTGGAAAAAGTTGACCACTTCGACCAAGTTCGAGGATACATAAAAGGGGGTCGACAAAGACCTTTTTAAACTGGAGACATAATGTTGCTGCGTCATGTGTGTGTGTCTTCAATAAAATTTTTACTTTATATTTCATTTAACTAAAAGTAGATAATATAAGAAATTAAAATTTCGGACGTTGGTATATAATCTGCATAAATGTTTTTCAATAGAAAACTGAGAGTCAAAAAGGTACAACTATAGCACTGTTTGTAAAAAAAACAGAAGGCACACCACCATTTTCTGAAGATGTCGTAAACGAAACGACCTGCCACCTGCAGTCTTTATCATTTTGTGGCCAAGAATTTATCTTATCTTTCTGCATGTGAGGTTCGAAAATACTGCTTTTCAGGGGTGCACTTCATCAGTCCTTGACAAACTAGGCTAGTATGCCCAATGCATGTAGAATATATTCTAGGAAGTCCTTTATCCAAGCACGCAGGCTCAAGGTTGCTACCACTATTTAAGAAGGGCAAACATTTTGCTTGGATTAAGCTTTTTTGGTAACCTTAGAATAATTGAAACGTATTATAATTACATTTGATGATAAAAATTGAAAATGCAGGATGGAGCAAAGCTGAGAGGTAACAAATTGATGAACTGGTAGGGTAAATTATTTATCGACGTTTTACAGAAAATCAATGTTTCCAGTAGAAAATATGAAATTCTAAGGTGCCGGTGATTCAAAATTACAATAAGAATTTTTTTTCCGCGTTTTTTTGGCATGATGTGATAGAGCTCGATGAGTTGTATCCGAAAAATACAATTCCACATTTTAGGAAGTCATTTTTTGGTAAAAAAATTTAAAATTACTCAGTTTTTGAAAATAAGCAAAAACGTGTGAAATTTTCGAGATTCTCCATCGAGAACTGAGTAAAAAAAACTGAATTTTAAATTTTTAAAGCTAAAACTGACCGCCAAATCCACGAAACAAAAGCAGAATCGTAAAACTTGTCTATTCAAATTTCTATTGTCAAATTTGCAAATGTATCTAGTTTTTTCCATTCAAAGACCAAGCATTAATGAGCCATATTCACATCCTGGTGAAAGCGTTGTGTGTTGGCCGTCAAACGGCTTCAAACCTGGCCGTATCTATGCGCGTATTGTATAGACAGAAAGAAAATACATACGGAAGCAAGAAAATAGTACTGAGATGTGGCGACCTCATCAGGATATGAATATGGCTCATTTTTATTTCCTTCTAATCGGTATACAAGGTATAAAAAAGTATGCGAAGGTGTTTTTTAAGCAATTAAATATCATATTCCGAATCAGGATCAAAACCTGAGTCGACCATTGTGTATTTCGAAATCTTTATTTCATTTTCAGTTTTTGATAAAAAGCTGTAATTTTTCAACGTGAAAATTCGAAAAACATTGAAGTATTCGGACAGGATAGATATAAAGATCAGTTGATTTAGTTTTTCATCCTGATTTGGAATATGATATTTTTATTGCTCAAAAGTTCAATTCTGAGGGATAAAATTGAGAATTACTCTCTGATTTAGAAAAAATGAGAAGAAGAAAATATGATGGTGTTTACTCATAGTGTGGTTTTTGAAGCGTGTTATCTCATCTCTCATTTGCATAAACGTCTTTGCATGCTTTTCGTTCTCTAAAGGCTTCTAGAAAACCGAGTCTTGGAATTCGTCACGCTAGAAAAGTTTAGCAATACTTCTCATATTAGTTTTGGGTTCGGCATTTGTCACCATACCACATACTAAATTCCACAGCCCCAGTTTGTTCACGTCATAGGAATAAAACTAAACCTGAAAAGCAGAGAAGCCTTGTGTTAGCATCTTTACCGGAGAGAAAGATCATTTAACTGAAATATATCCATCACTAGATGACTAACAATGTCATAGCAACAATAATCAGCATTGTTTAGAACAATATTAGCATTTTTAATTCTAGAATTGCACGATAATTTTATTGTAACTAAGAAAAACGATATAAAATGTTTAATCCAACTCAGCTTTATCTGCCGTCATCTCAGAGATTTTTATGTTTTTTATGCCTGTTAAATCTAACAAAAAAATACTTCTAATGACGCAATTTTAGTGAAGAGAAAAAGAATTATAATAAAATTAAAAATATAGTGTTAGTTCATAGATGATACTTTTCTAGTAGAAATTTCGATCAATACCAACACCGCATTCGCTAACATCACCCTGATATTGTTTGATGGCTGGTTTCGTCCATCCACCAAATGCTTGAAAACCTGAGAACGATTCAACATTATCATAATGTGGATACCATAATGGTGGATCACCAAACACAACTGTATTGCCTGTAATGTGTGTCCATTGAGATTTCTGTGCATAAATACCGAAATTAACTTTTAAACGTTTCAATTCATCAATCATCTGTTGAATAAAATCAATATTATCTTGCGCGATTGAACTCCAATTTGCACCACTTTCAATATCTAACCAAATCATGCCATACTCAGCACCATTCGAATTTAAGTTATCAATTGTATCAGAAACCTTAAAATAAAGGAGAGAAACATTTGAAAGTTTATTAAAGAACAAGCATACTTGTTTAGCTGGATTTCCACATGAAAAACATGGGAATATGTAACCATCAACGTAACGAAAACCAGCAGCTTTAGCATTTTTTATTGTTCGTGCACCATTTGGATCCACTTTACCAGTACTCTGATGGACGCGTGTAATGACAAACTCATAGCCTGCATCTAATCAAACAGAAATGTAATGAATTCAGGGACGCCGCGATAACAGGAGTACGAAGGGGATCCCTCTCCCTGCTTTTTGAAATCGTTTACTCCCAAATCCGAAAAGATTTTACTCTGAATTGAGATAAACAATCAGCGCCACTTGGTGTATGCTAATAAAGATAAGAGTATGTGGAAACGAAGAGAAACGAGTCTGAGCTCTGATTTGATGCTGCATAAATAGTAATCGTTGACTATTCATTATAAATATTCTCGGTTTAAAAGTAAACACCATCATATTTTCTTCTTCTTTTTTATTTCCAAGAAAATCTGCTACGATTCACACTTGAAAGCTTTGCATTCTCTTCTTGCTCTCTTCCACCAACTTTGCTTCGAAATTTCGTGTTATAAACATCGGACTCTTCAAATCAAAACGCCTATGTCCACTGAGTATACATTACTCCTAAAGTTTGACGTTCAGGTTTTAATTAATTGCTCAAGAATGAATCAATATGTTTTACTCTTAAGTTTAACGGAGCCTCAGATCGTTTTGTATGTCAAAACTTGCGTATTTTACACAAATCAGATAATTACTCTCACTTTTAAAATTTTTTGATTTACTGCGAAATTGGAGAATCCCTCCCTGCTTCTTGTACTTTGCGGTGTCCTTGAATGAATTGGACTGAACGGAAAAACGATGAGGACAGAAAACTTACTTTTTAAACATTCAAATTGTGCTTGTGTAACGCTTTGAGACACATCGATGCCTTTTGTTGCTAAAATCGTTGTAATACTTACGGTTAGAAAACAAATTAACCCAATCATTTTTCCTAAAATATCATTTACAATATTATTTCATAGCCTGGTGTATGATGATACTATAATAATTACCTGTCATTATTGTGGAAAGTAATTTTTTTTAACTAATAATACTCCTACTTTTTTCTGTCAAAATATTGTATATTTATATATAAAATGTTGTACTATGAAACGATGACTCAATTATGTGGGACTTTTATGTTCCTCTTATTTTTCTGCGAATATTTGAATGGGATAAATCATTTGTAAATAAACATTATACGTGTAAATATAGAATATTTTATATTTGAATAATTCTAATCACATTTAAGCTGTGTTGATTATTTCAACAGAATTGAAGTTTTATCTTCTCGAAGGAAATGATCAATAAAAGAAAAATTCTGTTTTTCAATTCACCCTCATCCTCCAAGTTTTCACAGAAACTAAAAAGGATTAAACAAAATGAAAACTGCCGATTGATAGAACAGATAAAACACTGTACAAAAATTAAAAAAAAGGCTTTTTTGCGCTCACCGCAATAGAGGAAAAATGTGTTCTATTCAATTCTAAGTTTGTAGAGAATACTTTAGACTGTAATACCTCGGTCTTGGCTATCGGTCATAGCAAGAACCGCATGTCCCTATTACATTTCTATCAAATGATATTCAAAATGCTTGTGTAACTTCCGTTTTTGAAATGGATAGTAGTTCTCAGCCTCATGTTCAGTCTTAAAGAACAACTTTCGGGAAGAATGCCTTATCACACAACATTATTACTAGAGCAAAAAATATTCAACGTGACGGACTATGATTTCTGAACTTTGAAAAGAAAAAACATTTTGTTCTGAAGAAAACGTCAAGTTATGAAACTAGAATAAATTTATTAAATTTTAATGAGTACTTTTTCTTCGTACTAACTTTATTTATTCCAAATGTTTCGATGGATAGTTCAATCTTCTTCCGTGGATACAAACATTAATTATGACAGAAGATCTGATAATTGACGATCTGATGATAATATAAGAATTGTCTAGGCAGGGAACAAGTGAAAAAGAAAAGAAAAATAGGATTTAAATATTGTATGCTTGTCAAACTACAGTTTTTTTATTATCGTCTGTACATATTATATAAAAATACAAAAGAGAAGAATATCCTCATGTTAAAGTTTTCTATTCAAATTGATTTGTTTATGTAATTTAATTAATGTTTGTATCCACTAAGGAAGATTGAAATATCAATCGAAACGTTTGAAGTAAATAAAGTTAGTACGAAGAAAAAGTACTCATTAAAATTTAAAAAATCTAATCTAACTTTGTATTCATATCGATTTTTCAAAAAAAATACAAAAAATTTAATAACCATTTAAAATTGTTTTTAATTGAGTTTAAATTGAGATATTTTATTTCACAAGACCTGAGAATCTGTAAGTTAACACTCAACAATTGTTGCTCAACATGTAATGTTTGAAAACGATTTTTTCATGAAAATTGGTATTTAAGAACTACTTTCTCGATGCATTCAAGTTCTGGCGTAGAAATGTCCTGTTAATACCTGTCAGAGTCACAATCTAATTACTAAAAAATCAAATAAAAGAAGCTATTATAAAAAAACAATTACTAACTAAATAAGTTTCCTTACTGTACTAATAAATGTCAGCGTTTATTAGAGTCCAATATCCATTCAAAATGGACATTGACATTATCATTATAACGAACTGAGGAAGTATTATTTGAAAAAACTAATCTTATGTCGGTTGTGGAGAATTAAATTGGCTATCGAATAGTAAAACAACATTTTGTTTATGTCTTATACTGGCCGAAATGTGTTTAAATTTTAGAATTAAAAATATTTTAGAAGAAAGTTAATTTAAGGAAAAGCCTTTTATTCAACAACCTTTTCAAAAATATGTAGAGTGGTGTGCTCTTTCAAATTATGTCAGCTAAAGAAATTATTGTTTAAACTGTAGACTGCTGATAGTACAAAACGAAAGGTCATTATGTTGATAATAATAGCAAAGAACGGCAGTTAGAGCATCTAAAGCAGTCGGCAGTAGTAATCCATCAATACCACCGGCCAAGGCCATTGACAAATTGAACGGACAAGTTAAAAACCAAAAATACAACTTAATAATAGTAGCTGAGAACCTAAAAAGAAGTTGCTTACCTGTCATGGTTGTTATATGCAAAAACAAATATGAAGAGAAACAGCATCAGACGAAAGTTCAAAGATGCAGAATACGGCCGCGAAATATGATTTCAGCAAAAAGAAAGCGTTCTGAAGCGATTTCTCTGCCTACATAAGTAATTACGTCCCATATACACATCCTTGAGTACAGCTGAAAAATTGACTGAGATTGACTGGATCGGGTTCGTTATTGGTGTTCTCTTTCTTTCATTAAGGCCCACCCCCCCTCTAAATTTTTTTTTCCCCAGAACACTCAATCTTACTGAAATTTTTATTGAATATGTATCTGACCATTGATAGTTCTCAGTATAAATTTGAGCTCATAATATTGAGTTTTTCGCGAGTTATTGTAACATCAAGGGTCAAAAA